ATGGGCAATACATTACAGAATAAAGTTATTTAGTTCCATGAAAAAATTGTCTTTGATTTTCTTTTAAAAATCCGCAATTACCTAGTTGCCGACCCAATATATATATATATATATATATATATATATATATATATATATATATATATATATATACACACACACATACATACAGGAATACTTTAAGAAGGCTAAAATTCAGATTATCAGTTGATAAATATTTTCTTTTATGGCCCTTAGATTTTGAATCAAGTAAAAACAACTTTCATTTTGAGATCATAAAGGGGAAAAATAAGATTTGGAATAATAACAGTTATCATCAGATATTATGCTAAGTATATTATATAAGTTGTTTCATCTAATATTTAGGTATATTTAGGTATACAGAAACTCTATACTGTAACCTGTACAGATGAGACAATTTGAGCTTCTATAGGTCATGTGATTTACTATAGATGACCAACAACTAGGTAGAAGAGCTTGGACCTAAACAAACTCTGTCTTACACTGAAGGCTTCTTAGCAAACCCCATTATACTTATCTATGTCTAGTAAGGTAGAAATTGCCAAAGTATCCTTAACAGATACTTATCATTTTTGACTGGATAGCATCCTTTCCTCCTTCTTACCATCTTGATTTTGCATTTTTTTTGGAGGGGGAAAGGGAGCTTACTCCTCAATTATATGGAGTGTTGGACAGTGAATCCGTGTTTCTACTTTTTACTAAAGAAGTTGAAGGGAATTGCTTTTACCTTCTATCAACTTATATGGGTTGTGGACAGATGAGCTAAACTTGGATCAATTGGAATCCTTTTTATTCTTCAGGTACTTGAAACTTGATATACAAGTGATACATGATTGGAAAGTTTTAATCTCATTTCTTTTTCATCTAATTTTCCTGCTATGAGATTATTCTTGTGATTCCCACATCACTATAACCTCACTCAGGCACAACCCTGAAGCACAATGAAGAAAGAAAGTCATTCCATGAGCCAAATTCTAAAGAGCTTATTTCATCAACTTTGTTTAGGAAAGCTGGAATGAGATAAGATTCTTACTTAACCATGGGCAGTATCCAATTGGTCAGATGGTGAGAAATTTGGAAGGTGCTTGATTAGGAAATTGGTAACAAGGAAGTTTTGAGGAGAATAGTGTGTGGATGAATCTTAAAGAATTAATTACCGTATTTTTCGGACCATTAGATGCACTTTTTTTCCCCCAGAAGTGGGGGGGGAAAGTCCCTGCGTCTTATGGTCCAAATATAGCCTACACATATACTTTAAAAAAAAAGTTTTTTTACTTGCCCGGCTCTTTGTGGTCTCTGTGTGCTTGCCCAGCTCTAAAATGGTTCTAAATGCTGATGTTTACTTTACAGGGTTGATTACATGTGTTTATGACTGTGATGTTGGGTTTTAATGCACATAAAATATTTTAGGACACTATTTGTTTCAGAATATTTTTTTCTTCATTTCCCTTCTCTAAAAACTGGTGCGTCTTATGGTCCGGAGCATCTTATGGTCTGAAAAATACGGTATATACAATATTATTTAGGATTTGTTTCAGCTAACACTACAGAAACTATACAAAATAATAACTGAACAATGTTCATTTGTTTTGATTTTTGTTCTAACATAATATAAGTTGTAGGTGGATATCAAGGACTAACATAACTACTCTGTAGTCATCACGCTTACTTCATAGTGTAAGACATCTACTAAAATTCCAGCCAATCATGTTCTAAGCATTGGAAAGGAGGAGGGAGAGGAGAAAAGCAAAAGAGGAGTGCCTTCATGTTGGGTCAGGTTCTTTTAGGCCATCTTCTTGGAAATTCTACACAATATTTTCATTTACATGTCATTGACCAGAATTTAGTTACATGGCTACACTTAGTAGGTACCGTGGCAATAGGAAGTATAGTTTTACTAGCCATATGGTTTGATATTATAAATAAAAATCAGCACTCTATTTCATATAAATTATCACCAACAGTTTAGCACTATAAAGGGAATCTTAATAGTCAGATTGACAGACTTGCTTTGTATAAAGTTCCTTTACTGGTTACCCCAGGAGTTTGCTCAATACACTCTGATCAAAGTAGCCATGTTGGCAGGCATGGAAACTGTGCACCAACTCAGCCAAAAAGACATCCCATCACCAAGACTGATATGCAACTGACCATTGCTGACTATCTGGTAGGCCCCCATTGCTGAACACAGTTTAGCAGCATTTGCTGGTAAGAGAATTCAGCACAATGACAATAGATTGTCCACATTAGACCCTTTCCATTATGAAGGAGGTAGAGATTAGCTTCTACTGGAACAACATTTTTTTTTTCTAGATTTGGATTTGTTTTCCATGTCTGTCACGCTTTATCAGCACTCTAATCCAAGAGTTTATAAAAAGTTCTTATGCAATCGTGATATCTTATATTTTATAACATCTAGGCTATTGCCTCACTTCAAAGCAGTAAGGCAATGACTCCACCCTAATGGTATTCACTGAATAATCTTCTATATCTTTTCATCCTGAAGAAATGGTTTAACCATAGCTAAGAGACAAAACCTTGCCATGTTGTGCAGCTATCTTGAAGACTGTAATTAATGCTATAAGGCAGTGGCCCAAAATATACTGGTGTTTTACCCGTACCTATAATATATGATTCATAGAACTAAAAGATGGAAACAGACTTGGTGTTTCACAAGGTTACATATCTGCTTTCCATCTACAACATTATTATTTCCAGGAGTTCTCAGGACTTGGAGGTCTAGTTTACTTGAGAACTTGGGTTCTCCATGTCACTAGATGAATAGGTCAAAAAAGATGTTATGGCGCTAACTATAAGGAGAAGTTAACTCATTCATATACATTTGGGCAGGAAAAAATATGGATGAGACCTAAGTTATTACCTTTGGAGCATTTTTGTACATCTAGGCCTAGTAGTAAAGGTTAATGGAAGTCCTTAATAGAAGGGCTGTCAAGGTCTTAGTACCCCCAGTAAGACAAAGGTTTTGATCAACCAATCCTCTGATGAACTCATTGCTGGCAGATGGCAAGGAGAATATAACACATGTATGGGAAAAAAAGAAAAAGGAATATTATTTATGGTCTTGTGATCAGTTATAGATATGGGATCTATAACCTCTATCTTTAGGCATATATTGTGTTATGTCTACACAATCATGCAAATAATTTTTATTTTTTGTTAAATTATATTATTTCTTTTTCTGTTCTCTGTCATTGACTGTTAGATTGTATTAGAAGCCCGATGCACAAAATTCATGCAAGAGTAGGTCTTCCTTCCCCCAGCTGCCAGCACCAGCTTCCCTCTGGCACCGGGACCCAGACTTTCCTCAGGCCCCAGCTTCAACCAGAAGGACATCCTGTCTAATTAGCATATTACACTTTTATTATTATAGATAATGTAAAGATAAAATCACAGCAGAGCTAATGGAGGAGGAATACTCATTAAACAGAGTTCCTTGATTTGGATATGGGTATATAATTTATAAGATTTCAGTTTACATAGTTTTTATTGTATGTTTATGACTTGTATTATATTATTGGGATGGAATATTTTAGAAAGTGTATCCAAAGGGAAAATATATGAATATTGGATTGAAAAATAGATAATCTGCAGATCCCATTTAATGGATATTGTATGTGAGTGAGATCTTCCGAGTACTCATTTACTGTTCCCAAAGCATTCTATTTTTCTTTGGGAAAATTTGTTGTTGTGGTGGAACAAGAATTAAAGAAACCTAATTCAACAATGAAAGCTGAAAGGGACAAAATGACTCACTTTTATGATGGGGTGAGCTCATGTCCTAAGTTTGGCTATATGATATTTTTTTTTCTGGATTTAAATTTTAATAGTAGTAGATTATTCATGCTGGCAAGTTGACAAAGATCATTATTGGATTTCTTGTTCCTTAACTTCCAGCTGAGATGTTTTGCTTCTTGCCTTTTTAAAGTCTAGTTTATAGGACTTTCAATTACAGAAAAATCTGGGGGGGGGGGGGGGGAAACAAACAAGACATAATCCCTGAATCCTCTCTCTAATATAACTAAAATCCCTTTACTTCATATGTAAAATAACCTAATAAGACCCTGAAAAGTAGTGATTAAAATCAGGCACATTAAGGATCTCAGGACCCAAGTAAGTGAGTGCATTACGGTTGCTTATATTTTGTCTCATCTATACCTGACTGGAAATTGGAGAAGCCAGAAAAGCTAATGGGTACAGATAGTACTAGCACCAACAAATGCCTGTTATCTCCAGCCATATGGCGAGGAAAAGGGCAGCTGGCAAAACAGAGAACTTTGAGAAACTAACCAGTCTACTCCAGCCAAATCCTACCCTCATGCCTGCCAACCACAGTCAATGGAGGGAAAGGTGGAGGAGCACCTTGTTATTGGTCCTCAGTGAGGTCATGGTGAGGGGAAAGGACTCTTTCACTGGGTATAGATTCTCCACTTGGCTCTCCTCATGGCTTGGCACAGAGAAACAGGTGGTGGTGGAAATCCAGGCTCCTACATGGTCTCCACTGACACCATGTTAAGGTGGGAAAGTTCATTACCACCCAGTGGTGAGAAGTGTCCTGGGTCTTCACTATATCTTTATTAGCAACACTTTGGCAAAGTATAGAGAAACATTTCATCCAAGAGGATTTATGGTGGGCGAATAAGAACTGAGAAGATGTTCAACATTATTTGCCATTATGGAAATGCAAATTAAGACCACAAAGAAGTATCCTTATACCTACCAGAATGGCTAAAATTAAAAATAGTGGCAATGCTAAATTCTGGCAAGGATGCAGAAAAGCTGGGTTTCTCATACGTTGATAGTGGAAAGGTAAAATGATATAGTCGCTCTGGAAAATAATCAGGCAGTTTCTTAAACATACACACAAAACTAAACATCTATTTACCTTATGACCTCGAAATTATACTCCTGGGCATTTATCCCAGAGAATTGAAAAGAGATCCACACAAAAACCTGTGCAATGATTGTTCCCAGCAGCTTTATTTGTAATAGCCAAGAATTGGGCACAGTTAACATGCCCCACAATAGGTGGATGATTAAACAAACTGTGCTCCATCAATGTCTTGGAATCAGAAGAAATGAACTATTCATACATCAACAACTTTGATGGATCTCCACGGCATAATGCTGAGCGAAAATAAGCCAATCTCAGAAGGTCACAGACTGTGTGATTACAATTATATAACAGTTTTGAAAAGACAAAATTATAGAGCTGGAGGACAGAAAAGTGATTGCTGGGGTTAAGGATGTTGGAGAGGAGGGAGGGACCATGACTGTAGAAAAGTTTGAAAGAGACCCCTTTGTGGTGACTTAACTGTAGTGGTGGTTGCATGGATCTACAGTAGATAAAACAATTGTAGAAATATACACACCCACACCAATGCCCAATGTCTGTTTTCTATTTAAATACATTATACTATAATTACATGAAATGTTACCATTGAGGGAAACTGGCTGAAGGTTACATGGACCTTTTCAACACTATCTTTGCAATTTTTGTGTGTCTATAAGTTTATGAAAACAGTTTTGGAAAAGCTGGAAATATAGTTTTCCTTCAGTTTCAAAATGCCTAATATCTTTTTAGGAAATCCCTCTTTTATTTACTATACTATGTTTTGGTTTCATCCAATTTATTCTAAGTGATATGCAACATTTATGTAAATGATTCATCTCATCCTTAGAACAGTAAGAAAAAGTTTCCTGGAAGATGTGCATTGGTAAAGGGGATCAGAAACTAGAGTTACCTGTCTCTTTCTTCTCTTAGGTCTAAGTCAAGTTATGTTAAAGTTGATTTGGATTCTCCTTTCTGCTGAACATAATTACACATTTATGATTACAGATCCTCACCCTCACTGCCACCCCACCTCTGCTTTACTCTTTCGGGGCAATCAGAACTATACTTTTATTTGATAAAGAAAGCGCTACATTTTTATACCATTTGTTAGATGTTTACCTTTGGTTGCAAGGGACTGAGAGTTGCCTAGTTAGGTAAGCACCAGGATCTGGGTTGGGGAATATTAATTTCTTTCATGCAGTGTGGTTTGGGAAATGAGCTTTTTGTAGATATTCAAAATCAAGATGTTCAGGCTGTATTTTCTGAGTCAAGGTGTTGAGTCATGGACTTTCTTTGATGTCTTACAATGTTCCTCCTTCAGTGTGAAGTCAAATATTCAAATTTAGGTGTTTCTATCTTTTCTACTTTCATCTTCTTGACACTGGGTCTCAAGAGGACTGGGTGACACAGCATAAAACATGGCCCATTAGGTTGGCAGGACTGTAGACAGAGCAGATTTTCTTAGAAGGGAATGTGAACAAAGCAGGAAATGATCAATATCACTCAGTATGGCTTTGCTTAATAAATGCTGGGAAAGCTTCAAACCACAGGGACTTGTGGCACTGCATTCCTTTGTAGTGTCTTGGGTTTCCGAATGCAGAGGTATAGGAGAAGTACGAATATGGACATACTCCTGCAGTTAAGGTGTTTTCTTTCCAATCTCAGCTCTTCGTGTCATCTGTAAAGTTGCTGTGTGCCTTCCGGCCAAGTGGTACTAGCAAAGAAAACCAAGAAAGGAATTAGACAAAATGCAGAAAGTATGGTAAGCTTAAATGGGCTGCAGCTGTGGTAGCTGGCAGATCAGGAGTGTGACCCTAAAATGTAAATATACAGCAAAAACTGAGCCAGGGACATGGCCAGCTCAGCACCAGGGAGAATATAATGCCTTACCTGGAAATCTGCAAGTGTGAAATTCTGTTAAGAACTCTGAGGTCACATCAGCAAAGTTAAACAAAGAAGCCAGGTACAGATTCCAGGACAGGTGATTAGTGGGCAGTGAGGACAAATAGCTGTAGACAGCAGTTCATTGTGTTCAGGTTTTTTTTTTTTTAATTTAATATAATGTATTGGCTTAGGCAACTGGAAAGTTCAAGGGTAGAGCTGACATTAGCTTGGAACATATCTTCTATGTGCTCTTTCTCCCTCCCTCCCTTCTCTCTCTCTCTCTCATCCTCTTTCTCTCTCTCTCCTTCTCCTTCACTCTCTCACTTCTTTTCTTCCTCCCTCTCTCTCTCTCCCTTTTCCTCCCTTTTTCCTTTTCCCTCTTGACACTGGCTCCTTGTTTTTGTAAGTTTTGTCCTCAGACAGGCTTCTTCTATAGCCAGCCCCAAAACTACATTTTCATAAACTTTTCTAAGCACCCTGATGTCTGATGTCAGAGAAGATTCTGATTGGGCCTGTATGTAGTCTTGTTGCCAAGGTAATAGAGTCCTATGTCCAAATATGACCAAGTCACCTACCCACACTTGTGGACAGCAGAATTGGAACTGGCCCCACTGGTAAAAAAGGAAATGGAAAAAAAAAAAAAAAAAAAAAAAAAAAGGCATTCTGACCTTGATCCTAAATACCAATGGGAGTGGAAAGGTGCTCTTACTGGTAAGATAGAGCCAGACTTGTGGGAAGTGAGGAGTTCAGTATAAAAACACAAGAATGTTTGAGAGGATTACAGAACAGGAAACAGGATGGAGCAGGGCACTGCAGACCAAAAAAAATTACTTCAGCATTTTTTCCAGGAGAGATATGTATGGAGGAGGCCTCACATAAAATGATGTTGACATAGATACCACATTAGGGTAATTGCATGGAAGGAAGGTCCAAGGAGAAAAAATAGGAGGTCTGAATTTCCCTACAACCACACTGCACTGTCTGGACACAACAGTTAACCCTAGGAATGCTTATGTGGCAGTAAAGAGCTCCTAGATCCGGAAGAAATGAAAAACAGATTGTGATTGGACGGCCTATATATCTTTCTGAGCACCACCAGGAAAGAAACTGGAAATCTGGATGTTGGCAGAGCTTTCAGCTGCCTTAAAACCACAAGTGACATAGCACAGGAGTAAGCCAGGAATGTAGTCCACAGTGCAAGTCCCATTAAAATGCTTACTATGCATGAAGTGACTGATGCTTTGAAGCTTTTACCTGGTAGTGACACCAAATATGAATTCATCATTTTATTCCCAAGGCTTATGGTATCTAAGTACCAAACAAGGCTCAGAGTTAGTGCTGGTGTCTGAAAGGCAGGATGACCCTCACTAATCTTTAGACTTTCTGGGTGGACTAACAGCTCTGAGTACATGCCTTGAGACTACATACAAGATGGGCAAAAGTAGATTGTCAGTTGTTGATATGGAAAATAATGATAAGTAATAGTAATATGAGAAGAAACTGTGTTTTGTGTACTCATCACAGTGAACCTACTTTTGCCCCACCCTGTATATGTAAAAGTTGGTTTAGAAATGAATGATCTGAGAATCTGGTATTTGAACTATGTCCTTAGTTTGGAAGCATAAAATGAAGTCTCCATTGTTTTTACCTCTTTAATTTAAATAATTAAAACAACTGAATTATTTTACTATGCCTTATGTTAAAGCTTCGATGTTGACAGTGCTCCAATACCTTCACTGTAAGTTAAGATCCAATCATGAGCTCTTTAACAGCATTGCTGAAAATCTCAATCCAGGATCTTCTATGCTTGGGACAGTCGAACCTTCCGTATCCTTTGGACAGAAGAGTCCTGGTGTATAGCTCTGTGATATCATTATGGTTTCAATGAGGGCACAAAAGAGGCCCCAAATCAAATCCTCTTTTTCTTTCTCCAGCTAAAAGCTGGGGAGGATATTTCAATGCCACACCTGTGGAATGCTTCCATCACTGTTATTTATGGTGACTTCAGACTCTGGGTTAATCCCAGAGATAAGAGGGCAGATTGCAAATGCACTTTGTATTTCTCCATCATCATGAGAAACGCTGGAGGTGACCAGAAAGATGGAGGCGGAGAAGGAGATACTATATTAATGGTAATTTCTACCAAGAGCAAAAAACAACACCTGCTTTCATTTTCCTCTCTTTATGCTCTGCAAGGGGACTCCTTGCATTGCTGTTGCCATTGCCTCAGACTTTTAATTAAAGACTTTGGAAGTTAGTAAAGCTGTTTATGAAGTATGAATTAAAGATTAGAGTTAAATAGCCTGACTCACTTGTGATTGAAGGATGATTCACTGGAGGGGAAATCTCTGCCCAAAGCCATTAATGAAGATCTGCCAATTAGGACCATCACTGTGGGATCCTGTGTGTCTGGGTTTCCGCTGCTAGATTGGCACAGAAGTTCAGAGATGAAGCATTGGGACGGGAAGAAAAGCTACTAAAGGCTGAGGCTAAAGGACTGAATCCTCTTTAAGCCATTTAGGAGGAACTGAGACAGGCTTGCCTTCAACAAACTCCTCTCTCTCTCTCCACCAGACGACATACATACAGTTTTGGAAATTGTTTCTCCTTTAATAAATACATTGTGAAAGAACAATACAGAGACCATTGCATTCGGGGACCAAAAAATCTGGGTCACGTACTGTGCTCATGAGCTTGGATGAGTAACCTAATTCCTTAGATCATTGTTTTCTTTACTAAACAAATTGGGTAAAAACCTGTCATCAAAATTAAGTGAAATCATATTTGTGAAAGCCTTTCATAAATTACACACATCATTATTATGATGGTGGTGTGTGTGCCCTATATTACTCAGGGTTCATAGCTCGGCTTTATATAAATAAAAAATAATATTTTACTAGTTAAAAATAGCTTGTCCTAGTCTGCTGGTGCTATAGAGGCAAGTAGACTTCTGCTTCCTGGTAAGATAGCTGTTTTCCCCTGTAACATAGTGGTTACATTGATGATACCACTTCTAACAGGCTCTCTTCATATAACCTCTGAGCTTATTCATTCCTCATTCAAAGCATATTTACTGAGCACAACCCAGGCTTGGCATAGGGAATACAGAGGTGACTTCATGAAGCTTAGAGTTGAGTGAAGGAAACATTTAGAGTACATATCATCACAAGTACTCCAAGAGAAGTTCAATCATGTCAGCAAGACCAAGGTGTTAGGCAGCGTATAGGTGGGCAGGAGGTGGGGAAGAAGAGTGGCCTAGGAATGTCCTCCTGGAGTCAAAATCTGAACTGAGTCTTTAAGGATGTGTAGGAAAAAACAGAAAGGGGATGTGCTGAGAAAATTTCAAGCTTTCTGGGTAGAATGGAAGGAAATAGATTGGCCAGCATCACAGGAGGTCACAGTTTAATTCCTGGTCAGGGCACATGTAGGGAACAAGCAGGAGGCAGATTGACTTAGTTAATTATCATAAATTATGAAGAGTTTAAGATAACATGATTTAAAATCTCAATCGTGGCTCAAATGTGATATTGTTTAGAAAGAGCAGATGGCCATGGTATAATGAGGACTTGCATAATGGAGCTAATAGTTGGGAGCTGGATGTTTCAGGTAAAGAAGAAGGTGGATTTCTCTAATAAACCTCATTGTTAAAGTATGATTAGTTGGTTTATTGATATCACTAGAGGCCCGGTGCATGGATTTGCACACTAATGGGGGTCCCTTGGCCTGGCCTGTACTCTCTCACAATTCAGGACCCTTCAGGGGATGTTGGAGGGCCAGTTTCGGCCCAATCCTGCAGGTCAGGCCAAGGGCCTCTAGTAACATATAAGATCTTTGGTTAATCTCTTCCTGCCCTCCCCCATCCACGTTCCTCTGAGATTCTTCAGGTCTGTTCCATGTTTCTATGCCTGTGGTTTCTTCTCCTGCACTGAGCATCTGCCCCTTGGTAGTCAGTGAGTGTCATAGCTACTGGCCAGTTAGCTGGTCAGCCATTCGGCCGGTGGCTTAGGCTTTTATATATATAGATTCTTTTTGTCATAAACGTTGCCTATGTTTAATGCAAGTAGGCAGAATCCAGCCTAAATGGCAATGAAGAAACTAGAGGCTAGAATAATCCTTGATTCATTTTACTAATAGAACTAACTCCCCATGTGCTCAGCATAGGACCAGGTCATCGAATGTTAGAAAAGAGAGTGACCTTAGAGATCATCCAGTCCAGCACACTGACTTCACCATTGAAGGTGATGAGGCTCAGTGAGATGATGCACTGTGCCTAAGGTGGGCAGGCGGAGAGGAGTAATATAATAATTTAGATACATAGTGTATATTTATTTGCAGAAGAATCCTGGTATATTTTAAACATTACCCAGCTCTGTCTATTCTCACTAACTTTCAAAGAAATATTTTATTCATTAATTTTAACTTCACTTAAAACACACATCAAACTAGTTTCAGTTCAAGACTGAGAACCAATCTTCTCTCTGATAAAATCATAGTCAGCAATTGATTTGGGATTTTGCCATTTTGAGGAAACTATCCATCTTCTTTCTTGTGTCTTTTGGCTCAAGCTGTCTTGAATTTTATTCTGTCCTTTATTAACAATAGCACTGCCTTGTTCCTGAAACTTGATTTTGTTTTCCATTTCTGTTGAAACTTAATGGTGCAAAAGATGAATCAAAAGAAATACACCCTTTGTAGCATATGCAAACACTTTTCTGCATGTGTTTTTGAGGGATGAGTATGTGAATCACCAAAACAACTTAGGTATTTTGTGCTGCATATTCAAATGATTATAAAGAATGTAAGATTTCCCCTTTCAGAAGACAAAATTCTCTTTCATTAAGTGTATAATGAGTTACAGGTAGTGGTGGATGGTGCCTTTGATAACATGAGGAAGAAGAAAACAGCATAAACTAGTGGTTCTCCCTTTAGCTTGTAATGCCATCACCTGGGAACTTCTTAGAAAAGCAAATTCTCACCTGGACAGCATCACAGGAGTTCACAGTTTGATTCCTGGTCAGGGCACATGAAGGGGGCAAGCAGGAGGCAGCGGATAATGCTTCTATCTCACCATTGATGTTTTTCTCTCTCTCTACCTCTCCCTTTCTATCCAAAATCAATAAGAATATATTTTTTTAAAATAAAGAAAAAAAGACTCTCAGGTTGAACCCCAAACCTACTGTGCTTTATCTATTTCCAGGAAATTCTGATGTAGGGCTAAAGTTTCAGTTACAGACTGTTCTAAACTTATGGAATCAATTCATTTAAAGAATTTACTCCTCACTATGAAAACAGGTAGAATTTCTCCTAATGTGAGAGCAGATATATTCACAGGACTTTCTCCATATCAATACAACTACAAGTTGAAGATAATGTTACAACTTTTAGTGTAAGCTGACTGACTGAAGTGTGAGTTGCCTGTGTGCTGTGATGGCATTCTCAGTTCTATCAAACATTGCCTCTGCTCCTTTTATTCCCTTCTCCTTCCCTTGACATTTTATTAGCATTGACTATATTTAAAGCTTTAATGCTATTAAAGTTCTAGTTCCTTAAGTAGAGTGAATACTCTCATACTTTACTATCTCTTATGCAATGGAATGAGTTTTAGATTTCTTTCTGAGAAAAGATTTTGAGAAACATAAAGGTTACTGAGAAAATTGTACTCATAAGGAAGTTGTAATAAAAATGAATTTTATTGCCTACCTCAATATGCAGTCAGCCTCTTTTCCCCTTTTTTGGACAGAATTCTGTTTTTTGCCACTGTATGACTGTTCTATTAAAGGGCTACATTTACCCATATCCATTGTACCTAGGAAGGCTATGAGGTGATATTGTATAGAGCCAATAGAAAGCAAATTATATGAAAGGGACTTCTTGGAAGTCTTCTCAAAAAAGGAGAACGTTGTCCTTCTTTCACCTCTTCCATCCCGTGACCTGGAAGGTGGATACAAAGGCTGAAGCTTCAGCATCCATCTTAAATCATGAGGTGAAGCAACCTCCAGAGGATATCCAGGCAGAGAAAGAGCAACTTGACTTATTAATGACTCTATGGAGTCACCATTTCACCCTGGGTAATTTAAAACATGAGGGAGAAACAAACTTCTATCTTTGGGGATTTTTGATTATATAAAATATAACATTCTCCTGATAGATGTCACCAAATGGGAGATTGTCAGCACAAAAAGGAGAGATTAGAGGTGTGGAAGCTAAGCTTCAGATATTTTATAGCTTAACCAATCCTGTCAGCCAACATGCTTCTGAGTCTTTAGCTCAGTAAACTGTAGTCCTGATTATTTTTTAAAAACTTATAGTAGCTTCACTTTTCTCAAACAGTGTTATATGGTCTCACAACACTAACATGCCTTTAGTTTGATTTTAAAATGAGATGTTTCGTGGCCTTTAGAATTTAGGAATGGGATTGGAGAAGTTGCGGCAGCTTGAACTTGACAGTAATCAAACAGTATCAGAAAAAATGTTTCTCTAAAAAGAAGAGAATGTTATACTATAAAAATTTCTTAATGTTTATAAAGGCCTTCTTTTGGGGTCATTAGATCACAAATTTTCCCTTCCAGATAAAGCCCAAGAGAGCATAAATGAGTGGAACTCTTTGATGACTATGCCTTGGATTTAAGAAAGCAAACTTTCCTTTCACACTGCACAACAGTGTTTCTAACAGTCCCTGACAATTAAGAATAGTAATAATAATCACAGAAAATCTATATATATAAAAGCCTAAGCGACCAGCCTACTGGCAAGTAGCTATGATGTGCAATGACCGCCAGGGGCAGGCGCTCAACACACAGGCATGGAAATATGGAACAAACTGATAAATTTCAGAGTGAAGGGGATAAGGGGGAGGGTGGTAAGAGATTAACCAAAGATTTTACCCTGTTTCCCCGAAAATAAGACAGTGTCTTATATTAATTTTTGCTCCCAAAGATGCGCTAGGTCTTATTTTTAGGGGATGTCTTATTTTTCCATGAAGAAGAATACGGTACACATTTATTGTTAAATGAAAATAAAGGAAATTTATTACATGTATATGGTACGGTAGTACAGTAGTTGTCAACACAAACCAGACAAACTGTGAATCCTACAGTATCAAGAATTTACTCATTTATTCAATGACAATCATGTCATCATCTTCTGGAACATCATCATAATAATCCAATTCCTGAATTTCCTGGTGAATTTCTTGTGACTCCATTTCTTTCAGAATCAGTGGACCAAATCTCTCATGTTTAGCAATAGCACTG